GACGAAGGTTCGAATTACATTTCGTCGTTACGATCGACGCATTTGTCCGAACTATAGTGAGTTTCTCTATAATCCCGTCGACTACACTATACTACACTCCGTTTGACAATGAAGAATGACCGAAGGGGAAAGTGTGATATGCAAATCATAGCATGTGTAGACGTTCAACGTGTCCCGAACGTGTATCATGTCCCAAACATCATTGCGCTACTTTCAGAGTGAAATCGGTACCTCCGGACCCAAAACGACATCTGGGCGTTTCAAACGTATGGTTGTAGTTTAGGGTTTAGGGTATGGGGCTTAGGGTATAGGGTTTAAACCTATACTACAATTTTTCGACGTACAGTGTTTTTAAGATATTTCAACACTAATTCACTAGTTTTGGAATGAATTCGAGACTCCTTGACCCAAAACGACATATTGACGTTTTACTCTAATGGGTGCCATTTAAGGTATACGGTATACAAAAAATCACGTGTATTCATTCAGTACATGCGATCCTGTTACAAGTATGACTGCGATTTAGGGCACACAAATTATAGCACATTTTGGTGCACTTTAGGAGAACACTTTAGTCCTATGACCCAAAAGGCATGTTGTCGTTTTAAACGCAGAACTGCCATTTTTCATATAATAGTCTATTTTTCAACACCATATAGATAAAGTTATGACAAACTGCATCTTCCTTTCAACCATGTCTGCTTCAATATTTGAATGAAACATCCTATAATGAAAATAATATAATTTATAAAAAATATTGATCAACATCCAAAAAATCAACATCCAAAGAAACTAGACAAATCTAATTGATCAGCATCCAAATCTGAGTACACAAAATCAACATCCATAAATTTCATAGGAAGATTGATGAACATCCAAAACTGACTAGACAAAAATCAGCATCCGTGCACATGTTTTCCTACTGCATCATTTCAAAATTACCATGTAGACAAAAATAGCATCAGAGTTCTCAATCTTCCAACCACATAAATGTGCAAAATATACTGAAAAAACAATTATGGATCGAAATGCATAGCAAAAACTTCAACGGCTAGTTTCTTCCTCCAACTGTCAATCATAGTATCGGACATAAGTTTCACGTCTAATCCCGCCGATAAAAGCTCTATGAACTTGATAACGTACATCCCACAATCTCCCCTACGAATATATATTTGTCATAATAAATATATGCACTCTCAAAATAAGTGAAAATCTAAAAAATTTTAAAGATAGATTATTTACGCATTGTTTTGTTGTGGAACGTCTGTATGTCGACGCCATAGAAACTGCTTGTGTGGGTAGTTTTCCCCGAATAACAAACTTTCCTTCATCATTCTAGGAATCACCTTCACAATTGGATGAATGATTTTTTGCAATTTTCCAAAACGAGTCAAACTCTTCATGCTGTCATATACATATATAGTCCGTTCGGCAAAGTCCACTTTAAGTGCAATCCAGTGCTTCATTTCTACATTGCAGGGAATATACAACGATGTACAAGAATCCCATCGCTTGCTCCATTCTGGATTTTTACCATATATATATCTTGTCATATTTTTCATCCATTTAAAGTCTTCTACTGGATTTTTTTCTTTCTTATGCAGCTCAAAAATCTTCAAATCTCTTGGTGCACATGTTAGTAAAAGCACAATCCAAAATTGCACAATCTTGTGGGAACACAGTAGGATATGTATGTATTCGTGCCCTCATCAACAACAACGCTATGTCAATGTGCTGTAGATGTATAAAGCCGTTTAAGAATGAAATGAAGTATGAGAAAAATATCGAATGCTAAAGTACTTGCATCACTATCGAGCCATCCAAATTGCTTCTGAATTTCAAGAAAGAAACTTTTTGGCTTCGTGAACATCATCATGTCCACATGTTCACTGCATAAAGAAAATAACATAAGAACAGAAATTACAACTTCACAAAAATAATTAATGTAAGAATAGTTACCTGTCAGGTGCATTAACCAACCAATTCTGTAAGTCATCTGCCTTAGCCAGATCTAGCTCTCGAAATGGGTCAAATGCATTTACATTGCGAAGATTCCTCCTCTTCTCTGGATTTGTGAACGGAGATTCAAGAACAAGTGACCTTTTCTTAATTCTCATCCCGCGCCCAATCTGACTAGACTTATCAGACTCATCTTCCACCACTATAGGGATGGACTCCATTACATCACCATATGCTATAGAATCCATCAGTACACAGGTATCTCTCTCTTCCACACGAGTTTCATCATCATTCGGCAAATCTGTTGCTTGCCTTTGCTCATTTTCCACTTCAATGGGATTTGGACAGTTATTCATATCATCTGCTTGTTTTTGTTCATTGCCATATGCGGGCAACGTTGCTTCTTTTACAATAACTGGTTCATTCGCCAACACATAATCTTCCACTTCTCTCTCCTCATTGTCATCTTGGTTCTCATCATTTTGAACTTCTACATGTACAAGTGGATCCTCATTTACATCACATGCTTCTCCAGTATTCATAAATCCACTACGAAGAGGAGAGTGATATGTGTAAGGTGTTGTCGACGGGTTAGAATTCTTCATCCACTCCATAACAGATGATATCTTCTCATCAATTTGTCTACAAAAGGATGTAACACAATCAAACCTTTGGTCTATGTAAGATTGCATCTCATCTATCCGCCCTTCATTTTTCCTCTCTAAAATCTCTACCATCTGTAGTAATTGCATTCTCAATTCCTGAGCGAACTCATCTCTAGATGGATACAGAGATGGATATGATGTAGATGGTCCCGGATGAAAAGTATGAGCATCTGTAGACGTAGGTGGCCTATGAAAAGAAGATGGATCCTGAGGAGATGTAGAGGCATTAGGAGAGTGGCAAGTTTGCTGAGGAAGATCAACACGAATGGACGAATCTGCTATATTCTCCTTATCCACAAAGATATCAACTGTCGGATCCTCTACTTCATCCTCAAATCGATGAATCTCTGTCCAATATGCTTTGGAAGCCTCTCTAGACATAGGCTTCAGTGTGCAATGAACAACAATCTATATGAAAAATGAGAGGCGCACTTAGTTGTTATAAAGTACACTACATATTTTGATGTACATTTAAAATTTACTTACATTTGGTTCGTCCATACTTGCACCAATATCCTTGTAGTTAGGCATTTCAGAAGAATTCCATTGACATATTCTGGGGAGGTCAGCCTCCTGTAGATTCTCACCATATCTCCGTCTAATAGATGGTATGGCTTCATAGGCCCAAATCTGTATAAGATGCAAAATATTACAATCTAAGCAAAATGAATAATAAATTATAATTTTAAAAACATTACCTGCAAGGCGAGTGGAAATCCATAAATTGAATATGGATATTTCTCATTATTTATCAAGTATGACTTCACCAACGATTTCCAGTCTCTCGTAAATACATCAATTGTGCGGGCAAACGCCTTTCTCCCCCAAGGATAACTATTAAAAGTATCTAGGTCATCAACTATTGACAAGTGTTCTACATTTATGTATGTGTAGCTTTCTTTGGGCAATAGTACCGTTTCCAAAATATATACAAGTCCAATCTTGTACTTGTCTTCCATACGCACTTTGCGACTTTCAATAGCTTCCTTCAAATTGTGCACCGTTATGCCTTTCTTACACTTTTTAAAGTGTTTCTTCACCAATCTATCATTAGTCACAATATGGGGCTCCAACGAAGACTCCTCACTAGCTCTCAACCCCGTTATCAATGAGAAGTCGTATAATGAAAATCATGTTGGCTTACCTCCAATTGAAAACCAGATCTCATTTTGTTTTTTGGTTACAATCATTCTCAATACAAGTTGGTGGATTAGCTGTGCTGAAAAAGGTATGCGCTTCATTCGATATAGTTGTCCAAAACAAGATTCCATCAGTATTTCTTGATGAACATCATCTAACATTTCCCGAACATAGTCAAGTTTTTGAAGGAAAGACTTCTGCGAAGGCCTGCCTTTAATTCTATGTTCAGTGGGAATCACATAATCAAATGAGCATTCCATTTCTGTAATGAAAAACATAAAATAATCATGCTAAGTTATTAGAATTACATAAACGGCAGGGTGACATTTCCAAAAAAAAATAAAACAATCTAATTACTGCAGGTTTGAAAACAATCTGTCAGTATTTGAACAATAGTTATTATATACAAATTTAAAAAAAAAACAAACAAAAAAAAGGAAGAGGAGGAAGAAGAAAAAGGGGGCATTACAATTCATCATATTCTTTCAATTTTTTTTTATCGTATCCTTCATATTTTCAAGCAATACTCAATTACGAGGTTCAACTGAGCTTGATTTAAATAAGATCAATCCAGTGCATTTAGATTATAGTCTTAACCTAACAAATATACTATAATTTTTCATCAATTCAAGTATGAATTTTATACTAATCATAGATCTTGGAATTTCGCCTTTCTCCACCTACCAACCCCCATTTTATATATAAAAAATAGGCAAATAAAACAATAATGGAACCGGCCATTTGATCAACTTGTGGAAGCATTGCGATTTAGATGCCAAAATATTCTCTGATCACTTTTAGATTAACTTTAACATATTCTAAGAGAATAGAGAAACGTAGATATCAGACTCATCCACGTGCTTACCACAAATCCCGCCGTATTAGTATTATATTAGCAACTTGATTATCACATTAATATCTGTGCGAACAGTAAATTAACTTTGGAACTATGAATCATAAGATGAAATGTGACGCCAGACACCACCACGCGCCCGTATAGTACTGTAATGGCAAGTTGATTATAAAATTATTCTACAAAATAATACCTAACATTGATCGAGTGGATTGGTAAATTAACTTAGGAACTATGAACAATAAGCAAGAAAACTGTCGTTCGACATCAACATCTTTTTAAATGTCAGTATAATGGGATAATGTTCATTTCTAGAGCTAATCCTGATCTCCTACCAACAGTTGATTTTTTCTTTGACTACAATGTTGATTGTTAGAATATCATTATTTGTATTCAGTTGGTTCAGACTCAAACAAGAATATGGCTTGGAGAAGTTCTTAATACAAGATTGGATGACGATTTGCATATTTCCGATTTGCTTCAAGATGGGGAGCTATTGTGTGTTCTTGACTTTTATTAACTATTTTCATTTGTCAACAATCTAATTACTGCAAGTTTTTCCCTTTTTTCTGAGTATAAATTAATGTTTAATTTATCAGTTTCCATACAAAAATGAAAGGAAAAACTCATTTCAATGAAGAACGTGCTTTACTTCCCCAGAAATTTAATCACTTGGTCTGGGAAACAGCTTGCTAGTATTTATTGGTGGTGCACATGTTTGTGGGTTCCATTATAGTTCTCCAGTCTCTTTTCAAGAATGAGATGCCAATATCAGGAAAATGTTCTCGTGCCATAATGAAAGTATTGGCTCCCGAGATTTTTACTATTTTGAATACAAACAAAAATCTTCATAGCTTTTTTCTTGTTGAACAGGTAGAGAAATTTTGAAGAAACAAGAACACACAACATTTAATTATCCATCAGTATGTCATAAATATTCTTGAAGTGGATAATATTAACATCACAAGAAAATCCAAATACAAGGGATGTATGAGTGATGATAATGCTTTATGTTGTAATTTCAACTAATTATTGTAAATTGGGGAAGCTTGGATATTTAGGGGTGTGGGAATTCTTTTCCTTCAGAATGGCATTGTGAACAGTATGAAGACGGTTGCATCTGTAAGTAAATTACAGGAGAGGAAGATGAGCTTGCATATTGTTGGTATTGAAACCTATACTTGAGGTCATTCCCAATGACAGAAGAATTGACGGATGATCTAAAGCCAAAGTTATCTTCATATTTGGTCTGCTCCATTTTAGAACTAAATCTAAGAGTAAATTAATCGGAGAAACGAGAAACAATTGTGCAGAAGAACATCTGCTTAGATACCAGTATTAAGGTAGAGATAATAAAAGAAAGTCAATATGCTAAAATCATATTGATGATTGAAGGATATCCAATGAATTGGAAGGTATACTAGGTCTTGTATTTCTACACACAAATGTGGGTGGCTAATTAACTAGAATAACTACCATCCAGATATTAACTAACAAATTATTTTGCTTAGACCTCGCATGGCGTCGACATTATGATATAACTCATGAAATTGCTCTTCCAGAGAATGTGGGGAGCTAGAAAAGTACATACTAATTATGCAGAAATGTGTAAAAATGCATCATATAGTAAAAGAAACTTGCTATATTTTAGAGGGATATTGGAGAATGGAAGACAAGGTGTCACGTGATAGAAGGGCTTTACACAAGGGACCACAGCCACTTTTATTAAAGGACCACACTATATTGTTAACAGCAAGATTTTGACAAAGTGAAAAAGTTAAAGAACAAATCAAAAAGTTGGTAGGTTAAATCATTTTTATTTACAGTTTTTGATTTTCTATGTTGGTATTACGTCTCATTTTACTTTGCTTGTTGATGAGGGAATGAATCAAAACTAAAAGGTCAATAGGATGACTATACATGTTTCAACTCAAAACATATAATTTGCTTATAAACGAGCGATGGTAAAACTTTCATTTAAGATTTTTATTATTACATTTCATTTGAACAAATGTTTAAGATGTTATCACGTAACTATAAAGTAAATTAGTGGCGTGATATATCAGACGTCCACATTTTCGTATAGACAAATTGGGTCATCATCAAGAAAATGTCTATTAGATTCGAGGTGAATAAGGTTATAAAAACGAGTAGAATTGATTATTAAAGAAGAAAAAAAATAAATAAAGAACACATTGTAACATAAACTAATTAAGTACCAACAATTGCGCAGACATTGAGAATATGGTAGAGACAAGAATGCGCCTATAGCGAGAAGATGAGGTCAAGCTCACGAGTACAAGACAAAAACCATGCTCATAGAGGATTGGCTTATACTTGGCAAACGAGGTTGAATCACAAAAAATATAATTTGTATTAGATAATTATATGGATGTGGAGATAAATCTCGACTATATTATGAAGTTAAGTTGACACGCTATGACTAGCACTTCCGTGACAAGCTTGACTTGGTTAATATTGTATAAAGACCATTGGAGTAATCGATGTCATGCATGACAAAATTTAACAATTCATTTTTATCATGAAAAATAACACTTTCATTTTTTTGTTTATACATCACAATCTACTAATTTTCAAAATTGTGAATTTGTACTCAGTTGGGTTTCATACAATTTAATTGTTTACCTACATTATTTTATATTTATTTCTTATCACCGATTGTCACAAATAAAATAACCAGCATTAATAAAGAGTGGTGTGATAGTAAATTCTATTGAGTAATAATCATGAGAGTCTTGTTCATGCATTGAAGAAATTTATTGGTTTTATCGATGCCTAGAAGTAATGGACCCGGTTGGTCCCATCGGGTGGCTCCAACTTGCCAAAACATTTATTGTGAACCGTTAGATTTTGTAATATCAATATATGTACAAGGTATAAACTAAAAACTATTCATTGGTTGACCAAAACCTAATATAAAAATTTCAAAATACTACCAATTGAAAAATATTTTTATCGAGAGCATCTCCAACATAAGATGTTATCAATTTTAAAGGGTTAATCTTTAAAATTCTGCTCCAATAAACTCGTTAATTAACGCTAGAGAGTGACTTTAATATTCTCTATAATAAAATGCATTTAAAGCATTTCAATTTTCAATGAAAAAATAATATAATAATTTGAAAGAAAATTAGTAAAAATAAATATTTTTTGAGAGTAGTAAAATATTTTTTTCTAAATTTATAAATGCCCTCTAGATTATAAAACATGTTCTTTAAAAATAAAGAGATACTCTAAGAGAGTTAATTCAAGTAGCAAAGGTTAAAATATTATTTTGCAAGATAAAAATTGACTGATGAGAGTTTAATTCTTATTATTTCTTAATATAATCTGGTAAGGGTTAATTTGCTTTTTTACTAAATGAACGAAAAAGGGTTAAAGTTCTAGTTATATTCTCGCGCGTTCTTCAATTGTGATTTTTCAGTTATTTGTTTAACTTGTTATGAATTTTTATTTAGGGCCAACTTCTATTTTTTTATTGTTAAGCAAACTTAAAAAATTAATGATTTTATTAAAAAATAAAAATAACTTGTCTTTTTATAAGTCTTGTGTTAACCCTCTCTAGAAAGCGATGCATTCCTACTGCTTTAAAAAGTAGAAATCAGATGAAAATCATTGTTAGTATATAAATTTTAAATTGAGAAAATCCATATTGTATAATCAAAGTGATTTTTTTTTTCTCAGAATGATGAATTTACCCATGTAGAAATGACTATACTAGCTAGAATGTTGGTTTCCATATGAAAATCTTCGTAAATCACTTGAGGGTCTATTTGACTTAGTCGAGGGAGAATTTTCATCGAAGAAGTCAAATAGTTCCCACAAAAAGATCGATCCAAGACCCATCAATATAGATTGGCCCATGAAAAACTGTCATCTTAAAACACCATCACAAGTTATAACATGACTGAGAATGTATTCCCTTATATGACAGTATTGTCCCTAACAACCAATCAAAGAAAAATCTTGATGCTTTAAGGTGAAAGTTTTATCTAGATATCATGATAAATTCGTCACAATCGAACTATCTAGCCAATCGAATCCCTTTCAAGATGGACGATGGCACACATATTTGGATTGAACGCTGTAATTTAACAAACCAAAACAATGAGGTCGTGTATAGAGGGGAGGAGTGAGTGAAATAGGGTCGAGCTGTAAAATTTCTTTTTTTCTAAACCACTAAAATTGTATACAAATGTTGCATGGTGCATATGAAGGCATATTTTCCATTTGCTAAACGATAATTATACAAATTAAGATAGATAATAGACTTGCATGACAAAGAAACAAATAAAACACAATCAATCCAAATAATCTGTCCAATTATTATGAAATACCTCGGAAAAAGTTCGTGCAATGACTCAAGAGTAGTTTGAGCCATGAAAAACAAGATCATGAAGATGACTTATAGTATTGTAATATTAGGCAAAGTAGCAAACTACCATTCGATATTGTTAGAATCCTTGTTCAAAACTCATAAATCTTTCAAATCTCTAAGATTGTATTATTATCAAAACTTAATCAGAGTTATAAAAAATGAAATTGATATAATATTTTCGTTATTCTTTCAATAATTAAATCATATCATGTATCATAATTCGAATAAGCAATCTCTCTTCGTTTCCATCTAAATAACTGGATATAAAATATTGTAAGAATTGTGTTTAGCTCTTTATATTCAAGTAAACGATCATACATATGAAAATATAATGCCAAAAAAATATCAAATTATATTTTAGAGAATATATAAATTTGTTATAAGAGCCAAGGAAAGATAAAGGTAAAAATTCACAATCACCAGATAGTGAGCAATAAGGAGAGATTAATTACTATTAAAAGGCCAAATTATTTTCTTAAATGAAATTAACTTCGAGTAATAAAAGATATATATCCCAAATAAAACTGAAAAAAGTCAAAGAAAACCCCCGGAAAATATATAACCGAAATTTAAAATGCAAAACTGTGTATAGATATTCTTGGAACCGAAATGACTTTTGTTGACAAAGTCAATTAGCGTTTGCCAGTAATTAAAAGCCCATAAACATGATTAAGTAGAATCAATGGAGGATTAAAGATAATTCTTCCAAAGTAATTCTTACATTTATGTTTATTTTCCCTCTCGTTTGTGATTTGTATTATAATTTTCACTGTTTCGAACGGCTGTGTGTGTTTTGGTGACTGGTGGGGTCTGATATATTTCCTTTTCTCAGGACGGGAAGACGACTCTGTGTCTTTCTCTCACTATACTCTCTCACTGTACTGACTTTGTTTCCCGCTTATTCTTAAATTTCATTTGCATCTTTCTCGACCCCATGTCTTGTTTTTTCCGCAGTTGAGAGAGGGAAAATAAAGTTTGTGTCTTTCTGTGCTTGTGCCAGATTATCCAGATAACATGTCCATGGGCTAGTGACAAAAGGACACATACATATACAGAAACAAAAGAGAAATGAAGGTGGGAGGAGACAGTTCCGTGAAGGAAAATAAAGAGAGTTGTGTTGAGAGTGCAAAGGGGAAAGCAGTAGTCGTGATGGACACTCCAGAGAGGAGCAAGAATAGCCAAATCACAACCTCTGTCAACACATTCGAGGTACAATTTGGTTCCTCAAACCCATCTTTATCTTCTTCATTTTCCTTTTCGTGTTATGGGTTTTTTGTGGATTGACTTTTTTTTTTTTTTTTTGTCAATTGACCTTAAATTTGTTGTTGCTTGGATTTTAGAGGTGGGTTTTGAGAAATTTTAGCAAAAAAAATGTCTTTTGAACACATTCTCACTTGATCTTGGATTTTTTGGGTTTGAGCTTCTTGAAATTGATTTAACAAGTAGGGTGGTTTGGAGTGATTTTATTACAGATGTCTTTTTTGGGGTAATTTGATCTAAAATGGTGGTGCTTGGTCACTGGGGTAAAAAAATTGAGAAGTGGGTTCTCAGAATTTCTACCAAAAGCTTCCACTTTTTTTTTGGATTTTTTGGATTTGATTTTTAGTTCATTGTTCTTTATGGTTGCTGGAACAGATTTGGAATATGGGATTTGGTTAATTGTTGTTTAATAGCTCATTTTGGTTGCTGGAACAGATTTGGAATATGGGATTTGATGATGTTTCTTCCTTTAAGACTTTTCAATTGCTATGCGTTGCTACTGATAGAATTGCAGATTTTGCTCCTTCGACTGGTCTTCGAATTGTGGGTTTGTCAGCTGATCTTTGACTTTGTTTTTGGATTTGTTGGGGACTCTTTGCTTCCCAGAAATCTTTTTGAGGGAAATGGATTCTGTATTTCTAAAAGTTGTTATAATTAGAAATTCTTGATTAATCTTAATTTTTGGGTTTTCTTGGCACTTGTTAAGTTTCTTTAGACAAGTTATGATTAATTCATTGAATTTGTTCTTCTTCTTACTTTCTTGTAATGCGCCAATTTCCCACCAATTATGCCAAATTTGCTTCTTGTTTGAGATTTTTGCTTCCCTGAAGGAATTGAGGAACTTGTTCTCCATAAATTGCTTAACGATTGGGGTTTGTAGTTTGTATGCTTTTATAGGCTTGTTCACACGCTGGTATTCGGGTAAAAAGTTCTGATTAATGGTTTTTCACAAAATTAGAACTTGTAGTTTAATGGCATTGTTTGGCTTTTTACGCAAGTGATTCATAATAGGTCCCCTTTTTTATTTTATTTTATTTTATGTATCTGGACTCTATAATAGTTTAGTAGGATTGATTTCTGTATCTGATTTCAGAGTTTTTTTCGAGACAAAATGCTTTTCAGATGATATTAGAAGTAGAACTAGACTGTTTCTCACTTGGGCACCAGTTGAGCGTGTGTGAAGAAATGGAACACATTAATCAGTATCTTTTAATTTCTTTAAACCTTTTAAATTCACAATGCACGTGTTCGAATTACTGGTTTATTGCACCATATTCACTCTTTATCTTGTGAAAGTGCTCATCAATGTGAAATTATGAGTGTAGAACCTACCTGTATGGAAATTGTAGCTGCTGTGTTTATGTTAACTCATCATTTTTCCGCTTTTAGGTGAATCCTATTTGTATGGTTTTCTCTTCATTAATGAGATGGGTTTTACAGATTCATCCACTCCAGAATTCCTCTTTTGGTGTTTAAGTTGTTGGCTTTCCTGGTAAATTCATTTTTCTGGCTTTTCGCTCTCAATTAATGACGGGTTTTCCCCTTCCATGCAGGACTCCCCTGTCTTTAATTTTCTCAACAATCTTTCCCCCATCAAGCCAGTTAAGTCCATACACATCAGTCAGACGATCAATCCTCTTAGTTTTGCATCGCTTCCATCTGTTTTCACTTCCCCCCACCTTAATTCATTGAAGGAATCGAGATTTCTGAGGAGGTGATGTAACTATTTATTGATGAGCCCCATAAATATAATTCACGTCAGCTTGGTCTGCGTTAAGTATAAGCGTACATTATTTTTGTCTCTTTTCAGGCATCAGCTCCCGGATCCATCAAAACCTGAATTTGCTTCTGATGATGCTCATACAGTTGACACAAGAAAGGATATTATTCATGCCAATAATGAATCAGATGAACATCAGGCAAATTTTGATCAACCGAGTTCTGTTGGTCAAGTAGTTGGTGAGGCATATTTTGAATGTTCGGAGCTTGTAGCTGAGTTCGAACAGAGCTTCAAGTATGACTGCAGTAGTCCTGGCTCCAGTTTAACACCTAGCTGTGCCCTTAAAACCAAACACATCGCTGAATATGCTCGCACATCATCAGCACTTATTCCTTTTGTAGAAGAGGCCTCCCTAAGGGGGTTATTTGGAAGTGAAGTGGATCTTGATGGGGTAAGCCAAATTGATCAAAATAAAGAAGCCACAAGATGTGAGTGGGAGAATTTGATTTCTGATGCTCCGGATCAATTAATTTTTGAATCACCAAATGACGCTGAGTCTTACAAAAATTCGAGTATTAGCAATGACATGCAGCATACATACTCTTTCTGTGAAGCAGATTCTAGTGAAAAAGCTGAAGAGGAAAACGAAACAGAGAATCAATGTACTCAACCTGGAGAAGGAAGTGAATTGAAGGAAATATCTGAAACCCATGACATAATTTCTGGTTCTTCTATGACCATTCCCATTGAGGAAGTGGATAATGAGGTTAGAATTGCATTTTATATCAGCATTTATTTGCTGCAAGATAGAGACTACACTGCCACATTTTTATAAAGACATGTAACTTTTGAAGAGTTTTGCATGTGTATATACGTGAGATTTCTATGTGGTTATGAGATGATTTACTATATTCTCTTTTACAAAGTAATTTTCATTCTGTCTTTGTAGCCTGTTTCTGGTTTGTACCGTGGTATGAGAAGACGTTGTCTGGTTTTTGAGATGGTGGGATCCCGCAGGAAGCGTTTTGATGAGAATTCAGTTTCTGATTCTTCTGCATTTCTGCAATCTGATGTCAATACTTCCACCAGCAATGAGAAAATACTCCCTACAAAGGCTGGAAATGATTCTTCACAACGCAGTTTACCAGGCATTGGTTTGCATTTAAATGCTCTAACAACAACTCCAAAGGACTACAAATTTCTCAAGCATGAAGCGTTAGGTTCTGGAAGACTATTGATTGGACCAAGCCCAAATGCCAATTTTCAACCTCCAACATCTGGTCAAGAATTGTTAAACAATTCTTTAGCTGTTAACTCAGAAAGAGAAATCAGTGTTGTCGAAAATGGTATTCTTGCGGAAGATGCTTGCCAGGCATCTGGATATATGATCAATGAAGAGTTCAATCAGAGTAGTCCAAAGAAGAAGAGGCATGTCTTCTTTACTGTAAATATAGCTTTCCTTTGCATTTAGCCTTTTCCAGATGTATAACATGTATTAAATTCTCAGACGTAGGTTGGATCAAGCAGGAGATGGTGAAGCCTGTAAGCGATGTAACTGCAAGAAATCAAAATGCTTGAAACTGTAAGTCCTTGTATTCTGTCTTGCCATGGCACAAGTATACACTCTATGGGCCCTATTCAATTAGCGATCTCTCTTTTTTATTATTTGGTGTTATATTCATGTTTGGGGAATTGAAAAGGCTATATATCAAATTTTGGCTTGCCTACTGTGTTTAGTTCTGCTTGTTAAACTGTTAAAGTAATAACTTAAATGTAAAGTTCTTGAGATGTTTATACATAGACGATTTGATCTTCCACCCTCTCTCTCTCCCTATTTTTCCCAATTATCCAAGAGCTTTTTTTGGCTGTCATCAACTTTGGTTAACTGCCTTGCCTGGATATTTAATAAATATACAACAAATCCCTAACCATTTTTCATTGTTCATGAATACTGAGCATCAGTGCAGGGTTCGCTGCATTTTGCAGATGGAAGCTCATTTATATCTTCTGACAATGCTTTTAATCTATTAAACTTCTTAATGCAGTTACTGTGAATGCTTTGCTGCTGGTGTTTACTGTGTGGAACCATGTGCATGTATAGATTGCTTCAACACACCTGTCCATGAGGACACTGTCCTTGCAACTCGTAAACAGATTGAATCCAGAAATCCTCTTGCTTTTGCTCCCAAAGTGATTAGGAGCTCGGATTATCTATCTGAAACCAGGGTTAGTCGATGAATTCTGGATTTATGTTCTGCTCACTTTGTGCTTAAATGTATTTGAGCTTCTGTTTAATTATTTATAGCAGGATGAGTCCAGCAAAACTCCTGCTTCAGCTAGACATAAGAGAGGATGCAACTGCAAAAAATCGGGTTGCCTAAAGAAATATTGTGAATGCTATCAGGTTTGTTTTCATCTTTCCAGTTTTTGCAGGCTTTTCTTTAGTCCTTCAGCTGACATAAAATCCTTCTATTGAAGGGTGGTGTTGGATGCTCCGTTAACTGCAGATGTGAAGGGTGTAAGAATGCATTTGGCCGAAAGGATGGTTAGTATCGTCTTAAGGTTTACTACAACTTGAGTCTCAGCTGGTATTATTGTTTGAAATTTTATTTGCCTTTTTGAGTTGGGCTCTTGTTTAACAGGCACAGAAGCTGAATTTGACGAAGATGAAACAGACACAGCCGAGAAGGGTTTGCAGAAACTCGCAATCCAGAATGATCTGGAGCAGAATCCTGATTCTGTCCTTCCTGCAACACCTTTAAAACAAGGAAGGTAATATAGAAACGAACATATTTGTTTCCCAAATTGCTAAAGTTGTTGATCTATGTTGTTGGTCAATGAATGTTTTATTTTCTTTTTTTGTTAAGACAAACTATCCAGCATCTATTCTCCTCAAAGAACAAACTGCCTCGACCTTCTTTTCCTTCTATTGGCTCCTCTTCTGGTTCGTATGCCAGCCATGGATTCAGGAAACCGAGTTTTTTCCAACCTCCAGCAAGGTTCGATAAGCATCTTGAAACTGTTCTTGAAGACGAAATGCCCGATTTTCTCCAAGCTCAATCTCCTATCAGTTGCATCAAGACATCGTCTCCCAACAGTAAGAGGGTCTCTCCTCCTCACCGCATAGGGACATCTCCCAGCATGAGAAGCAGCCGTAAGTTGATACTTCAATCTATTCCGGCTTTTCCTTCTCTTACTCCCAACAATTGACAGTCTTTTTGCTGGTGAATCTTGAAGGAAGTTCTTTCAATGTTTACAGTAGTTATATCAGTTATGTTCCTTTATCTGTATGTTGGTCGAGCTTACTCTTCGACCTTGTATCATCCATGTTTCTATAATAAACAACTATGTTTATTAGCTGTCAAAAGAACCATGTTTCATAAAGCCAATATATGATTCACTACATACAATGTCCAAAGTTTTCTACATAATATATAGAGTTATAAATTGATATTATCTGAGTAATGAAGGGAATTTACACGTTCCACAGTTGCAAATTCTACTGTGGCTAAATTTACATGGAGGTAAAAATAAAGTAGCAGCTATTCTGTCACCCTATGTCATATATATTCATTTATTTCCATTACATAATTCTCTGGAAGTGAAATTAATAATAAAGAGTGGGCCATTCCTTAGATTAAGAATTTTGTTGCTTGGGAATTTAATGATCAACAGTGAAGCTGCCTGTCAGTTTATGAGGCTGCCTTTTGTTACGATAATTCCACATCCATTAGATGTGGCGAGTTGGGGCCCATGATATTTGACTAAGCAATCGGCATTCCTTTTGGAGGTCTCGAACCGACCCCAAGGCTTTATGCTTCATAGCCAGAGTATGGACCACTAGATGGTTATAATAAGTAACAAGACTTGACAGTTGCCCCCTCTGTCGGGGCACTGATCAAGTTTCGTTTATCTTGTATTGATCAAAAGATCTTACAAGATTTTAAGGTCCACTTCTTCATAGGTGGCTGATTCTCTCCAAAAAGCATAAGGTGCTACAATTGACTAGACATTTATAGGTAAAACACTGTTTTTATGGGTTGCGAGAAAGATGCATTGAGAGACCATTTTTTTATTAAGAGACTGTGTCCATGTTTCTCAATAGAAGATGGAAAATATGCTATTCTTTGATAAAATCATATGACGCAATACAGAAGAGAAGAAGATTTGAGGGCAAAAGAAAATATCAATTTATTCATATAATTAGGGCCCCTTCTCAGATTGGAGTTGAAATGTTTTCTAACTTTAGATGGATACGATTGCTTTCCAAGAGCTCCATCCCTTGGTCTACAAATGCCTCTCGCGGAATGGCTATTGATTGCAAAATTTGATAGAATTCCATGTAGAGGTTTGAATATTAAAATGAATAAGCCCTCTTATTTATAGCGCATAAGATCAAACTAACTTGTACTAAACTAGACATTATCGAAATACTTGAACTAATCTACTCAAGTTCAAATAGATATATTTTATATCAAACTCGTAAAATTTTATTCTATTTGTACCTCTAGCCCTATCTTTATCATTATCTCCATCTCTATCACCCTCTACTTCTATTTACAGAAAGCAGACATGAGATTAAAACTAGTTTCTTTTTCGTAAGTAATGTTTTTCCTTGGCTCATGGGTTTATTAGTTCTTTAGCGAAAATTCAATGGATTGCACCGAAATTCTTCGTGATGGTTACAACTTCAATTTGTCCTAATTTAATTATCCAGCTTACTTTTTGTTAGTTTGACCATTCCGTTAGTAGTTCACAGAGAAGCGAAAACGCATAAATTCCCATTGCAACTAATCATAACTCCAGAAAATGTGACAATAACTCCACTATCACTATCAATGAGGCCCAGAACGATGCTAATCCCCATGCATAGCATTATTCATTTGTATAAGTACTCGCTAGACTCTTCCTGTGGCAAACGACAACCTTGTCTTGACATATTGTGGATTCATCTCAGCAAACTGTCCCTGACGCCCAAAAACTATCAAAATTTGGAATTGAAAATGAACAAAAATGGGCCATGGCTAAAGATATTGATGTCAATGTTGGAATTTTGCATCGAAAATTGGTCGTGACCAATTTTAAATAATTATTTACGTGGAATTATTTATTTGGTGAATGAGAAATTAAGCCAAAAATAAACCGCATAAATACTTGAAATTATTAAAAAATCGTCTAGAATATTATGGAATAATCTAGAAATATATGGATGAAAAGATGTGTCTTTTCCTATGAATGATCATGAATACAGGTACGATTAATTTTCAATAATTATGTCTCTTAATGAGATGCGTCTCTTGGTATGGTTGTGCCTTTTGACATACATTTCCAACTACTATATATTGACCCCATATGTTTGGATTTAATCATTCAAGAAATTCAAGAAAGTCAATAGATAGTTTTATATCATTCAATTCCATGCTTATACTTTAGTTTGCATAAAACACTTGCATCAAAGTCATGATTATGGTAGAGAGGGAACTCCGTCCGAGTTTGGTTCTAAGCCATTTGGAGTTTCCTATGACTAAACGTGGTCGTTGTATCTTGGGAGATGATTGCTGGAAAATAGTTAGCACCGATGCGGGGCAAATTCATCTTAAGGATAAAATGCTCAACACTTGCCTCGCCAAAAATCCATCACTTGCATTCTCTTATTTCATTTTCTGATTTCTTTTATTATATTTTGATTTCAGAAACTAATTAACATTATTTACATGTTTATGTTGCAAGATTCGATCCAAAGAATGATTTGCTTTTGTTCAAGAATCAAAAGGGATGAATCCATATTGATACATTCAGATTCGATGAATTATTGTTTTGCTTCTCAAAAATTCATTTCGATAAGTCGAAATTACGTTTCGATTTCACGCAAATAAACGACATCATTTTTGTGAATATAATATGTACAATTATTGGTGTAATTTCTCCAACAATCTTAATATGAATTTTGATGCTTGTTGTGCATTTTATATTCTATCAGAATCTGAAATGTATTTTCATTTCCAGCATGTTGAATAATATTTTGAATAATTGAAAATTTTAATATAGAAACTGTCTGCAATTAATTCCATTATAATTGCACATGATAAGTAAAATAAATTCCCGTCTATTTTCTAAAAAGGTGTGAACCTTTTGGACTTACGTTTTATGGCTTGCAGTTATGTTTATCTGGTATAATTCAATAGTTGGCTGCTGTAGTTGAATAAACTTTAAAAAATTGGTTTAAATTTTGAAAAAGTGCATGGGGTTCAGTTTATTAAAATGGTGACCTGTCAACTCTAATTATAATTTGAATTAGTCGGTGGCTAATTGATGAAAGAATATATAAGTGCCTATTCAAATTATGCTTTGAAGACAACTAGTTGGTGACGACTGGAATGAATTTGATACCTTGTCTTGATGACTTTCAATTGCTGAATACGAATCTCTTTCACCTGGTACCGAAGCGGTGCAATTACATTGTATCTATCTATTTGATAATAAAATATAAAAACATGGTTACGAGGCCATATGGTGATAAAAGGCAGCCAATAGTGATGACTGTATTTTAAATGACAATTTTTCATATTGTATGCAATTGTCTTTCTATTAGAAAATGAATGTGTTTCTGGTTCATAAAAAAATTTTACTGGATGGTTATGTGTATATTGAAGAGAGATATTGACATTGTGTTTGGCACGTTAGAAAGATGGAAAAGGCCAAAAATCATTGCTTCGTCTCATATGACTGCCATGGAATTATACACGAATTGAAATGAAAAATTGATTTGAAAGTGGTAGGGACTCCAAATTATTGCATGTGGAATTAAAATTCATTAAATACATGTTCAATGCAATTCATAATTTTGATTTCCTCTCTATTGAAATTATGGAATATGTTTTGATGTCCCATTGTATATTTTGTAACTTCCATGGAAGGAAAAGTTTGGAATAATGTGACTTTTCATTTTAAATGCAATGAAAACTAGTTTTGCCCGGTGACTGTTATGTGTATGTCCACATTTCATTTTTTGTAAAAATGTTGCAAGACATATGGTCATGATATAGTGATAGATTTCTATGAAAGAAATTCAAACGGGCTTAACATTTGTTTATGTACAAGTCACGACTGGATATACCAACCATTTTATAAATCCAGTATATGTATATACGGTAAGCGACATATACAGTAAGCTGCATATACAGAATGCAATAATACAGTAAACTGTATATACAGTAAGTTGCATATAAGTTGAATATATGGTATGCTAGTGCAAATACAGTATTCTGATGGATATGCGGTATGCTGTTGCATATATGAGAAATTACAAATACGGTATGCATAAATCTAATATCTAAATTTCATATACGGTATATGTTTATCCGGTACTTATAGTAAACTTGATTTATGATGATAGCCTCAATTAATTCTACGAAATTAAATGAGATGACTTATGCAAAATTATAGTTACATAAGAGTATGACAAAATGTGATTTTGTCCTAATTATTTAAAGTGGAAATTGCTTGCCCAATTATTGAGATGTGAAAATATTTTATAGAGCACAAATGATGTCTGTAGTTGGCAATGTGCCGGATATCTTTGAAAATAATGATTGTAAAATGACATTCATTTGTAAAGGATAAAAATCATATTATGAAAATTGTAAATAATATTATGAAATATTCTAGAGGTATGTCTTTTTGTAAAGTTGTGACTTTGAGAACACAATTTGTCAATCTATGGCTGGTTAATTCATTCAAATGTGAATATAGAGAATAAGGAGAAGTTACTTGGTCTTTTTCATTGTTGAATTTGACTTCAATTTGGAACCAATTAAGCTGGTATATGCTTTGAAAGCATTGTTTGTCTATGTGATGACCTTGATTTAATTTGGATAATCAAATTAATATGATTGATTAAAGTATAATTTCAAATGGAAAATGATTTTCATATGTGTGAATTGACGACCACTATTTTAAAAGTATTTAGACTTTCACGAAGCACTTGATATGGATATTGTCTAAGTGATAAATGGATTGAACTATGAAAGAGTTGATGAACTCTAAGTTCAAGAATAACCTAAAAATGTGGGGGTTAATATTAATATTTGAGAACTTATATGAAATGTTCAAATCGTGTGGGTTCAATGCTACTACTTGGATATATGTCCTTAATTTAGGAATTGTGGGGGTAACTTAGTCTCAAGTTACACTTTCCGGTACCTCTCAAGAAAATGGAAGAGATTTTATATGAGTTATGGAAAAGTCATCCTCCTTCTTACCAACACTTAAAAGTGTGAGGTGTTTGGAAAAGGTTGAGGTTCCTAAGTCTAAACAAATAAAGATTAGTCCCAAAACGACTGATTGCATATGCCAATAATAGTAGTGCATATCGTTTCCTTATACACAAATCGGATGTACACGAGGGTACCATAATTGAGTTAAGAAATGCGATATTCTTTGAGAATGTGGAAAATGTAAGTTTGAATAAAAGAACATGAAACTACAAATGAGTCTTCAAATAAGAAAGAACCAATGTGTAGTAAGAGGGCTAGAATGTACACTTCATTTGGTTCGAATTTTCTAGTATATGGTAGAAAATGATCCAAAGACTTCTGAAGAAGCAATGTCTATTTCGAAAGCACCGCATTGGAAGGAAGCTATCAATAGTGAGATAGATTTCATAATGCAAATTCATACATGGAAATTGATAGATATACCTCCCGAAAATAAGCTTTTAGGATGTAAATGGATTAAAACCGGATGGATTCATTGACAAATATAAGGTTAGATTGGTTGCCAAAGGATATAGACAAGAAGAAGGATTTGACTTCTTTACCTACTCAATCATGACTAGAATAACTTCGATAAGGTTACTAATTGCAATTGCGACAATACATGACCTTGAGATTCACCAAATGGATGTGAAAACAAGATTCCTAAATGGTGAGTTAGAAGAAGAGATATACCTGGAGCAACCGGAAGGTGTCTCCAAGTGAAAGCCATAAAGTTTCTAAACTTTTTGAGTCCTTATATGGATTGAAACAATCTCCTAAGCAATGCACCAAAAGTTTGATAGAATGATGTTGTCAAACGAGTTCAAAATAAATGAATGTGATAAGTGTGTATACGTGGAAAATAAACCAAATGCTTACTTGATTGTGTATCTATATGTAGACAATATGTTGATGGTGGGAGTCATGAAGTGGTATCAAACGCTAAGAAAATGCTTACAAAGCATTACAACATAAAAGACAAGGGTATGGCAGATGTAATACTAGAGATAAAAATCTCTAGAACAATAGAAGGAAATGTACTTTCCCAATATTATTATGTTGAGAAAATATTTAAAAAGTTTGAAGTATTAGAAGAAAGTTTGACAAAAATCCTATTGACACAAGTCTACACTCGGTCAAAATAAGGGTGAAAGCATGTCATAACTGAGATATTCACGAGTAATTGGCATTCTAATATATATTACGAACTACACTCGACTAGATAATGTTTTTGCTGTGAATAAATTTAGCATATTCACGAGTAATCCAGGCTATGATTATTGGGTGGCATTGACAGGGGTCTTTAGGTATTTGAAATATATCATGACCTATGGATTACATTTCACAAGATATCTTGTGGTATTAGAAGGATATTGTGATGCAATGATATACACCAAGTCTAAAGTGGATGAAAGCCGATCATGATGGTTGTTTAGAAAGTTTGACTGCATTACAATATTCATAAAGTTTGACTGCATTACAATGCTTTAATGATGATATTGAATACCCATGTATGAACTCTACTAGTAAATATGATAGACTAGTGTAATGGTTTGATAGAAATCTTCCAATTATGTTTGGAAATTGATAAAGTTTTAGATAAAGCTAATGAGAAGCATGTAGCTTCATGAGAGGATTTCTTGGTGGTGACAATGTGTATCTATCAAATGAATCGATCGTTGGCTAGCAAAATTTGATAAGATACTAAGTCACATATAATGGTAAGTCGTAGACATAATACCACAAGCAGTTTATCTCATTTGTATTCAAAATTTGAATTCTCTAAACACTTATAGAACCAAGATGGGTTCTGGGCCAACATGAACCAAGTCATGAGAACCATGAACGATTTATGGGAGACATTGTGTGAGTGCTGTTGTCCTAATTTACACCAACGGCTGACAGTTCAAGACATCACAATCACGATTAGCCAAGTAAATTCAATAATATTTCACTAAGAAAGGTTCAAAGCAGAAGCTATCTTACTTGATGCAGTATTTTTTCGCTCTCTCTACTAGTGTTTGCATAGATATTTGCATTAATTTTCATTCATGCGGGGGACTGTTGGAATTTTGTATCGACAATTGATTGTGACCAATTTTAAATGATTATTTAAGTGAATTTCTTATTTGGTGAATGAGAAATTAAGCCAAAAGTAAACTGCTTAAATACTTGAAATTATTAGAAAATCGTATAGAATATTGTGGAATATTCTAGAAATATATGAATGAAAAAATGTGTTTTTTTCTATAAAGGATCATGAATATGGGTATGATTAATTTCCAATAATTATGTCTCTTAATGAGATGCATATCTTGGTATGATTGTGTCTTTTGATATTCATTTCTAACCGCTATATATTAACCCCACATGTTTGGATTTAATCATTCAAGAAATTCAAGAAAGTCAATAGATAGTTCCATATCATTCCATTCCATACTTACACTTTAATTTGCATAAAACACTTGCATCAAAGTTATGGTTATGGTAGAGAGGGAACTCCGTTCGAGTTCATTGTTCTAAGCCATTTGGAGTGTTTCTATGGTTATGTGGTCGTTGTATCTTGGGATATGATTGCTGAAAAATTGTTAGCACCTATGTGAGGCAAATTCATCTTAAGGACAAAGTGTCCAACGCTTGCCTCGGCCAAAAATCCATCACTTGCATTCTCTTGTTTCATTTTCTGATTTCTTTTATTATACTTTGATTTCAGAAATTGATTAACATTGTTTACATGTTTATGTTGCAAGGTCGATCCAAAGAATGATTTGCTTTCATTCAAAGAATCGAAAGGGATGAATCCATATTGATACGTTCATATTTGGTAAATTATTGTATTACTTCTCAAATTCATTTCGATAAGTCGAAATTATGTTTCGATTTCACGTAAATAAACGACATAATTTTTGTTAATATAATATGCACAATTATTGGTGTAATTTCTCCAATAGTCAAAACTCCCTTGCAACAGTTATTAGAAGCTGAGCAATCTAATGAATGTGAATAAACAAGATAAACTGTTGAAACATATTGAAAGAGGATGCCCAATGGATGGCAGGTCATCATTAGAGTCGAAGTAGGCCACAAGCATAGGTATGACAAACTTGTCGAACTACATGAATCAAACTTGTCGAACTCATCAAACCAAATTCAAATAAGCTACTTTTATTACTTTTGAGATGAATGTTTATGACACTGAGAAGGCAAAAGGTAGCTTGCTTGATGCTTCCAAGCTGACCCGGCCAATTTGCACCATAGAACGTCAAATAGGTGCATCCAAAAATGGGGATGAGCTGAAAGTACCCACAATGCTCTTCCCATTCACTGAATAGGTAAAGAACCCAACCAGGAAAATTTCAAGTTGTTCAGGTTTTCGATCAGTTCCCATTTACCTTGGCTGTCAGACACGACGCTTTTGACTTGTTTCCTTGACGAGTCAATTACACATTGAAGTCACATTGTGCCATAAAAATTGTGATGTCCAAGTGCTCATATATGTCATTGGAAAATCTTGCATCCTGTATAGACATAAAAAACCATAAAATGTGTTACGGTCTAAGTGACAATCATTCATGACTTACGACTAGGGATGGATAGAACTCCTGAACTGAACCGGACTCAAAACGAATTGAACCAAACCAAGCGATTCTCCTTAAGTTAAATACCCGAATGGGTATGTAAATTGAGAACCGACGAGTTTGATTCGATTCTCAATTCTAGATCAAGAATCGAATAATAATCAAATCTCTCTAATTTTTTAAATTTATTTATTTTAAATAAATCAAATTATTTTATTTTTTTCTAAATAAATTTGTTAACTAGCTAATTTAGCTCAAATCCTAAAATATGATTTCCTTATTTCTAATTTCATTCACAAACTTAATCAAATTGGCATAAATTTTACCCAAATTTATTATTTTACCATAGTATCATTTCTATTGTTATGAAGAAATCAAATTGAAGTTCAATAATGCCTTTCTTAATTATTGTAAGAGTTAAAATTGAACGTGTCATTAATTAAATTAATGAAACTTTATAAATATTAAAAATATTAATTATAGCACAGAGCATAGGAAGCTAATAAAACCAAACATTTCCACTTACTAAATACCAGAAAATTTCGATTTGGTTCAGTTCTCGTTAAAACCAAACGAACCATGCCCATGACCGTGATCAGCAAGGCAAATCTAGAGTAATGCCATTCAAAATGAGAATTATCAATAATCGTTCTACGTGACATACATGTAACAACTTATTATTTGATAAATGAGACAATAAAAAACTACAATACATCAAATAATAAACCACCGCATTTATGGCACATAGGGCGACTATTGATAATTCTAAATTTGAATAACATTATTCTTACAGAAAAATCTAAAGTTTGAAGATTTCAGAAGTGCCACTACACGTGGCAAGGCATTCAAGAAAAAACATTGGCGAGAACCAATAGAAAATAACCCCAATGGATAATATTCAAGTATATCAAGAAGGAACTGAAAAACATAAGAATTACGCAAACAAGAATCAACATGAAACTCAAAAATGCCTCTGGCTTTATGGTTTATAACAGCTGAGGAACACTGTTCTACTCTCTTCAGAGTAAAAATCCTTCCTAATTTACTCCAAAACAATATGAAGTGCTTTCATATTCTTGTTTCAAGCAAAACCTTCTGACTGAAGACATAACATTACCAAACTTAGGACTCATCCTTTCATTTCAGGCACCAACCACTTCAGTTGCCTCGGCCATTGGCTCCTCAGCAGGCCTGTCCAACTTCACACCAACGTCTTCACTGTAATCACCATGAACCTACACAACAATGCAAATAGTGAGTTAAAAAAAAGTTGACATTACATCTCATGATAGTGAACATGGGTGAATCGAGTTATCCAAACTGAGCCACACCCAGAAATGGGAGGAAACCAACTAAGTACGTATCTGCTAAAGCACAAGCCAGCGATGAGAACCAAAGACTAAAGTAGAAACTTGCCTCCATCAACTTGCCAAGGTCAAATTTGGGAGCTTTCAATATCTTAACCTTCCGGATATACACATTCTGCAGCGGATAAATGCTTGAGGTTGCCTTCTCAATCTCTTTCCCAATTGATTCAGGAATAAACTTCTGAACCAAATCCTTGAGATCACAGGATTGTGCCTGGTTGATCATGATTTCACACATCTTACGGCGTATCTAACAAAAAAAGAAAACAGAAATTAGAAACAGATACAAAAATATTGTAAAGCATACCCTTAATTATGTTATATACGAGTGGAATAAAATATTAACATAAACATTGAAGGTTGCAGAATATTTCATTACCTGGCGAATCTGGCTTGATTGTGCATAACATGTCCTCTTTTGCTGGTTAGCACGCTTTTTAGTGAAACCAATGCAGAACATCCTCAAAGTATAGTTGTCTGTAGTCTTGACATCAACATGTGCCTCAATCAGGGACTGCCATTTCCTAACAAGTGACCTCAATTTATCTGTAGTGAAGTTCATGCCCTGCAATTCCAGAAGAAAACAGGTGGGGGTTAGAAACATGCATATGTGACATAACACAAAGTGGGAACAAACAAATGCTTCCACTATTATCATACCCAGAAGTTGGTGAGAACATTCTTTCCCTGAACATCCTCAGCTCTCAATCTGATCTTCCTGAAAGAATGGTCCTCATCACCTTGAAGGTCAGCCAAAGACACTTCAAACACACGATGCTTAAGTCCCTCTGAAGCAATCTGATAGATGAAAGAGTGTTGGCTATCAACTTTAAGTGCATATGAGTAGTAGAGTACTTGCACCAAAGATAGTTTCCAAAACAAAGATGTTAAAACAATTTCATTGCAAAAAATGAGGTTCAATAGCATCAGATTTCAAATATTTATCTTAGTAGTTTAGATGGTTAGGAACTTCTGATAAATTTGTAGAAACGACTGTATAAGAAAAATTGGTCAGAAGCAAAAAAGAGATGCTGCAAGTCATTTCCTTAATTTTTTTTTTCATATTAGTTGTTTCATCATGATCTTCATTTGTTCAGGTTTCGAAAAATCTCAAGTTCTTTAAGCAAAACCTGATGATGCCTGGAATTGCAATCCAGGCACAAATGTATCTCAGAAGCATTGACCAACTCCTTTTGAGCAAGGAACTCAAAATTCAATTACTCGAAACTAGAAGAATCTTAGCTAAGCAATAAAGCTAACATCTCGATGCCAAATCCACAGTTTCAGGATCCTCAATTATTCAAAAGGAACAAAAAAAAAAAGGAGTGGGGACAATACAGTGTCCCAGTGTCTATTAAAAGAAGATACAACAGATGAAACCCAAAATTAAAAAACTCACTACACCTTTTTCAGGATAGCAGACTAATAGATCTCTTGTTGAGGGTAAAAATTACAACTTTCCAGGTGTAATACGACAGATTACAGAATTCGTACGTCCGTTTCAATGGCTGAACCAATTCGTCAATCATTTTTAACAGCACATTAAGAAGAGTCAAATATCATTTCTCCAGCAAAACGAATGTAATTTAGAGAGAAAAATTACCTTAGTACCCTGAGTACGAGTAACAAGGGTTTTGCCAATGTTTCTAGTATTGAAAACTGACGGCGCTTTGATATCATACCAATCCTTCTTTGCAAACGGATCAACTCTATACATATACAGCACATAAATATAATCACAAAAATATCTGGAAAAACAAAAATCTCAAGAAAAAAACCTGTATGAATGAAAATGTAACTCATAATATTAAAAATAAATAAATAATAAAAAAAAATTGCTCACGCTTTCTTCTTCCCTCCCTTCTTTCCCTTTGAGATCCTCTTGTTCTTCCTGCGTCACGATAGAATATAAGCAACCACGTTAACGTGGAAAATCGGAAACAAATATTGCATAATCGAAAACGTAGTAATTCATTAAGGAATCCGTATGTGTGGACTTGGAGAGGGACAATACCCGACGGCCATGGTTGAGTTGGTGGTACTGTAGTGGAGCTGCTGTAAATCGGCGCGTCGGTCAGACTAAAATGTGCTCAACAAAACCCTAGCGTGGAAAGTGGAAACTTTATTCCAAGTCGTGTATCATACGACATCGTTTTATCGATGGGCCTGCTGGTTTCAGCAAGAAGCATAATTGTTTGTTAATTAGTTGGGCTGAACCATTGTGCAGGGAAAATATCATAAGTAACATAGAATTGATTATGAAGTGAGTTGTAGTATTTTGTTGCTTAAAAAGGTTGAGGCTCAAAGCGTCAAAAGAACATATATTGAGGACTGAAAGTGAAATTTATATATGAGTTACTAGTGATGGCACCGGGCGCCTTAGATGGGATGGGGCGGGGCGAGGCGAGGCAAGGTGGGGCGGGCCGAGGCGGGAGTTTGCCTCGTTTATTTTTTTTATTATTGTTATTTTTATTTTTTCTCTTCACGGGGCTGGTTTGGGGAGACCCGTCCCACCTCGCCAACCCGTCGGGGCGGGGAATGTCAAGGATATTTCATATTTGCCATCCTTATGAGTTACATGTATGAAGCAAAATCTCATAAATATTGCCAAAGAGATCAAATCATCATGGGAAATGCTAAACGAATAGGGGCTTGATAGGCTCAGACGCCCTATCACAGGGGCCCATCAAGATGACGGACCCCTATCACAGTAGCATTTCCCAATCATCATATGAACTAAGCATTCAGAGTAAAAAGTGAAAATTAATGGCAGGATCGCACGATAAAGCAGTAGAAATATCGCTGAAAGATAAAGCAGTGAATTCAAATCTGGTAATTATCTGAAAGCTGCAGATCTTTATACTCAGGCCATGAAACAAGACCCTTCCAATCCCACTTTACAGGTTTAATTACACACATATTTATTTTTGTAATGCTTCACATGAGCTTTTGTTTTGTCGATCATGGCTACCAGTTTCTAACTAAAGATTAGATTTTGTAGCTTCAAGGTTGAATATTTAGTTCAATACTAGAATTTTGGACCATTCTGTCGCATAAATCCCATGTTAATCAAAGGACATCAGAGTCCGAGAAAAATCAGAGTGAAACTATGGTGTCGTCATCGCCTGGGCAGTATTGTTTGGCAATAACCTCAAAAATTGGAAAGACCATTGCGTGATCTGAAAAATCATGGGATAGAACTCAATATGCACCATTTTAGCGATTCCACTTCTCTGATTCTTCAGTTGATATCCTCTACCTGTCCTTTGTGAGTGTTGTTTGTGGACTCCAGTTTTCAATTTTTTCCAACCATTTTGCTTCTCTCTTTCAAATGCCTAAATACTGATTGCAAATTGATAGTTAAGCTGGAGAACCTGCAACTTCAAATTACGTTGGCTAATGTTTTTAACATTCGATCCACTGCGTTGAATGGATTATCCTTTTCCTTTGGCCATTTTGCTCTATACTAGCAGCAGTGCGGCAGCATTTCTACATTTGGTTAAACTGAACAAAGGAAGAATGATAAACAAACAGGCAAAGAAATAGGGAAGAAAGATGTGTCAAAAAGTTGTTTGGTGTTTTTTCTTAAAAATTTTTTCAAACTCTCCAATCATGAATCGACATGTGTACAGTTTTAGCCATGTTTTTCACCCTGTTTCTGTAACATCTTTGCAAAGGAAGTACTTTCTGATTTGGTCAGTTTGAAACGTTACTGGGAAAAGGTGAATTCACTTGATTGTAAAACGTTTCTCGAACTTTGGACGTCTTCATATGGAATGCCACTGACTGCTGCTGCAGGGCTCATTCAGAAAGATATGACAATGTATGTACATGTTTTTCATTAACACGTGTCAAAGCACTCTTGGTGAAACATGCCTGAAGTACTAATTTTTAGGTTTAATAAAGATGTAGGCCTTAGCTGCTTTCCAGATAGCCTTGGAATAACAATCCATGTTTTTGGTCAAGCTGCATGTTTAGTGGCACCAATAAGGATAATATCCTCTTACAATTTTTAGGATTAATGCATGATTTAAATGATTATTAAGTGACACACGACCCTGTCTTGCAATCAGGTTAATTATTTTAAGGTGGTTCATCATGCGTGGTGTTGTGTTCATTAAATGAGAAGTTTGTTGTGCAAGTTTTAAATGTCAAAAATGGATGGATAAACATTTTTAATCATGGCCTCTAATTCTCCAAGGTTGGGATACTAATCTTTGCTACCTTATCAGAATTCTTGTGTTCGGTGGGAACTTCATCCTCTCTCCTATTGTGTGAATCACACACCTTTACTTATCATTAGTTTAGTTTACTTTCTTTTGAAACTGGAGTAAGTTTCTACCTTAAGAACTGATCTATCTCTAATATCATGTCGATATAATGCAGGTGTGGAGAGGTCAAGGATCAAGGAAATGAAAGCATGGACACCATGATGGTGTAAAGATAGACTTTACCATGTAAATTCTTGATGCTCAGGATCTTTTGTTTATTTGTATGTTTCAAAGCAAATTTCAAACAACTTCTCTTTCTTACAAGGCATAACAACTATGCTAAGAGCAAAAGTTTTCAAGCAGTAAATATCAGTGCAAGAGCGAGCACAAAGAACTCTTGCTAAACCATGTTAATCGTTAATGTTAAGCCATTATACCTCGAATCGAATGTGTTGAACACACTACTTCCCTTGACTAAGTTTGCACAAAGATCATGTTGTGACTGTTGTGCATCCATTCAACATTAGAAAACCATATGCTCACAAACATGCATATGGAGGACACATGTATATGTTCATATTATAAATTTCCATCAGACAAACAAGAAATCTGGCGAATTAAGCAAAATTGAAATTAAAGCCAAAAAATGGCTTTATAATCAAACTATGAGCTTACTTTATATTCTACATGTTAACTGGTCTGTGGCATTGTTTTTGTGTCACGCTCTGTTTGTAGATCATCAGGAGTTTCACCAATGTCCTCGTTTGACTCAGGCTGTGACGGATGCGGAGGCAAAACCTGCACCATGGTCTCGAAAAACTCATCGATTCTATCTCTCATGCGCGAGTTGTAATCTTGTATGATCTACAAGTATCGGGCCAAAAAAAAGGGAAACATACAAAAAAATTTGCAAAAAAACTAAGCAACTTGAGAATGGAAGATTTAGATTTTGAAGATGTAAATACATAGCACATAACCATAAACAGTTTAAATTATAAATTGATAGATAGGTGGATACGTGTTGATAAAAAGTGGACTTAGTGTTTAAAAGCTTATAAACATGAGCCAAACATAGGCTCCAAAGATTGCTATAACACACGCATCCAATTCGACAATGCTTTCTTTTTCAAATCACAAACCGAGCAGAATCAGTAACTGTTCCATCGAATTTTTTCTAGATCACACTAATGTATTTCATGCTATTTGGGGACAATGCTGAGATCCTCATTGCATTCTCATTCTCAACAAGAATCACATCTTAAACATAGTGTTTGTATTTCAGGAGGTGAGAATCGTATTATAAAAAATTTTCTCAATCAGCATATAGTTCAAGATCCTTGCATTGGCACTACCCCAATTTCTATTTGGGATTTGTGAAAGATCCAAATGGAAAGCTAACGCCAAAATTAAATTGTGTAGCTTCTCAACGCTTCAGCTAATTTCGTTTTTATCTCTTAGCATCACATTACATCCAGTATTTACTACCATCATATCTTGACCACATTTTCTTTTGATCAATAAATCATTTATAGCATACACAGCAAGAGCAACATGTACAATACGCACTTTAAAGCACCTCTAAGGAGCATATTGAGAATTCTTAAATTTGAATTGCCTGATGAATGAAGATAAAAACTAACACTATGAATCCACAATGGTATTTAAGTAAGAACAAAATAGTAATAGTTTGACAAAAATTACCGGGTCAATCTCAACTGCAGATGATGGCCTAATGTTGACAATATTAAGCATTTCACCCTTAGCAAGGTCATATTTTTCACAATCTTCCACGAACTTATTGATGATTTCTATTGTTTGATTGGATGCAACAGTTTGTTCTAAATAATCATAAACCTGCACCCCAAAAAAAAAAAAAGAAAAAAAAAAGGGGTATTAGCCATGAATATACCCACATTACTTGATGAGAAAGTATCAATGATATATAAATTAAGAACAAAATGTTCCAACCTTGAATTCAGATGGTGCAACGGCAGCAATAACACGTGTAGGATCTTTCCCGGCCCCTCTGGATCTAAAGAGCGCAAGAACTTCATAGTTAGTAAGTACACCAGCATTGGATTGGAGTCTGCAATATACCCAACAGCAAGGGGCATACGAATTCGAGTCATTTTGGCATAATAAGACAGTATAGCAACTAAGTGCTAAAAAGATGGAAAATCTGTATTGTGTGAATACCGCACATCTTCATAGCCAAAGGCTGGTCAGTACAATAAGAATTTAAATTTTAATGATGTCGTTTGAGTGGTCACAGGCAATTGAATGTTGACGTAAATTGCCTGCAAATTTCAACTTTCCTCCATTAAACAAGTTAAGAGCATCGTATCCCACCAAACAAACAGGCAAGAAGTTATGCAATTAAAATAGCTTGAATGTTCGCAATAAATATGAAACACACTCTACTGATTTCCCCAAAGAACCACAATGAGGTAAAGCCAGGGACTAAAGACTAACGTATGTGATGTAAACATAGATTAATTGGTTTTATACCTGTTATATTTTGGTGCAATTACACTGTTACCGATTTCTCAAAAGAACGACAATGAGAAAACAGAATTACTAGCATCTTAAGAAATTTACTTTAAAATACTCCAAGTATATGGAAGCAAGAGATAAATTTCTATTCACCTACCAAATGAACTAAATATTAAGGTGCAGCCTAAAAGCAGCTTTTATAAAATACAGAAGCTTGGAAATAAATAAAAGAAATAGAAGAAACGTCAATATGAATTATGAAAAACCACTGCCAATAAAACCGCAAAAGAAAATAAAAGTAACAAGAAGAGAAGCAGATGAAAGAACATATATTAGACAGTACAACAAGAGAAAAGGAAAAAATCAAAGTAAAAGAAGAGTGTATAACCTGTTTCCGGTTTCCAATCGTCAATCTTCCTAGGCGCCGCCGGAAGTAACAAATAACCGCCGGAGAAGCATCTGTTCTTTCCCTCTTCTCTATTAGACCGTTGGTGGTATGGTATAACATGGGCTTTAATTAGGAAGGCCCAAAAACTAGCCCAAGAAAACAAAGAAAATAAAGATTAATCCAAATTGACAAACTAAAACTTTTTAGCCAATTTTTTTTTTTTTTTAAAAGTTGATATAAATTTATGGTTAAAAAATGATTTTAAAAAAATGTGATACTTCCATGGTACATGAGATTTTGATTTTAACTTCTTAGCGACATTTTTAGCCATATAAACAAAACCCCAGACTTATATGTAAAAATAAATGAGTTTTTACATTTTTTAAAGAAAAATTTATAAAATATATAAAAATATAAGGATTTTGCTCCTCTATCAGTCCTGTAAATGATCTGGTAGAGGAGCCTCTTTCACAGTAATGAATCTCAATGTGAGACCCATTATTAAAAAAATGTAAAAAAACACCCACGCCCACCCCCAAATGTGAGAGGAGCTGCTCTACCGGATCATTTATTGATCTGGTAGAGCAGCAGGGTTCTATAATCAAGATATCATGTTAAACAAATAATTAAGGCAACGATAAAGCCAACAACGATGTCAAATCAAATATCACTTCAAATAATTTCTCTTTATTGCTTTTCATAAAGCTTACCATTTTCCAAAATTCAAATATTCAAAGGGTTTTTTATGACTTGGTATAGGCTTGCCGGGAAATGGCCCCAACGAATATTATGTAATCAGATAGGCGGATCCAAGATTTTTTACTCATAAGTTTAATATTAGAGAGGCAAAATATATAAATTCAAAATTGAGATTTTGAGTCACAAACCTATTAAAAATGGTAAGTTTGAGACTCAAGTGATTGCAATTATCAATGTGATGTTAAAATTGTACCCGACTTATATATAATTCATTGCTAGAGGGCAAATTTGTTAAATTCAATTAACATTTATCTTTAATCCAATTGAAACATGTATGCGATTTCAACATATAAATTTTCCCAAAAATTGACCATTTTCGTCTACTATTATTTGGGAAAATTTATATATTTTACTATTTTTTATTTTAAAATTTATATTTAAACTATATGGCTACAAAAGTTTTGGCTTTTCTTTTCATTGCATGTAGCATAAAGATCGAATGACAATGCTACATTTACGGGTTACTCAGAGCTTCAATATTATAGATGTGAGTAGACAATTCGAGATATCAGGTCAATTTGCTTACGATGAACGAAAATGTCTCATTACAAATTGTGTATAACAAAAGAAACTCATTTTAATTACAAATATTATTTTCATCAACTCTACATGTACAAAAAATTTGTACAAATAAGTTGACAGAGATGCATGCCATCTGGCCACTGATTTGAATTTCGTCACATGCACTAATGCAAGTAATAAAAAGAAAGTAAAAAGGGAATTTTTTTTTTTATAGAAATGAATTCAGGCCCCGTTTGGTAGGGATTTTTTGCCCCAAAAAATTGATTTTTTGACCGTTATTTTACTATTTAAGCCGTAATTTTTGACTTCTTCTCTCACATGTGAACCTCACTTTTCCTCTAACGATTAAAAAATCAATTCTCAAAATCCCTACCAAACGGGCCCTCAGAATCCCTCTCGAGAGTTTAACTTTAAAAAAAAAAAAAAAATTACATTCCCAACGTTGTTTTGTCCCTCGCAATAAAATTAAAAAAAAAATAGTAAAATTGTAATCTTTAAGACAATTCATACCATATTAATTAGTTAAACATCGAAAATTTGTCTGAACACTGAACAATTTGTTATCTAACAATGTACTAACTACAGAGTGTTTGGCATTATTAGTAATACAAATATTTTAATGGAAGTGGGGTGATGGGGTTCAGGTAATGTTAAGGCATGAAGAGCTTGTTGCCACACTTGCATCGCCAAGCTTCTGGATAATACTCTAATGGCGTACTGAATCTCGGTTGAATTGGAACATGCACTGGTTTACATGGCAAACAATTTCCACACTTGGATCTACAGGTGGGTGGCGATGATCCTGGGCCAACGAGTCGCCGCCGAGTCAGAACTCGCTCTACCACTTCCTCTTTGATCTTCCTCACTCCAAAACCTATTCACAGACAGAAAAGAATAGAAATTTGTTATTAATACAGTAAAAGTGCTTAATTAATTCCATTTGGAAGAAATTTGAATTTACTTACTGAATTGATGAGCAGGTTTTAGGCTAAAAGCTGAAACTGAAGTAAGTAGAAGAAAAGATATTGTAGCAAACGAGATTGTACATTGCTGGTGGTGGCGGCGCAAAACGCCCATCGCCGCACACGGTGGTGCACAAACAAGCAGCTTCCCTCTCTCTGTGTGCGTATAAAGATGTGTAATAGAGATGCTAAACCATAAACAGTGTTGCGTGTGAAGGCGAGACTGGTGAGTGAATCCAAGTCAAAGAGGGCACCTTACACTGTAAATCTATAAGAGAAGAGAGAGAATGGGTACATAGAGTGTGTCAGAGAGATGGGAATTATTTTCTTTCTCTGATTTGCAATATGATGAAACATATCTATTAGGCTATGTTTGATTACTCACATTTTCCAACTTTTGATTGTCCAAAATTTTTTCTAGAATTAAAATTTCAACTTTCTTGTCACTTCAGCATTTTCCATAAAATCAAGGAATTAGAATTCTCATCAAAATGGTGAGTTACTCCACATTTTCCAACTTTTGATTGTCTAAAATTTTTCTTAGAATCGAAATTTCAACTTTCTTGTCACGTCAACATTTTCCATGAAATCAAGGAATTAGAATTCTCACCAAAATGGTGAGAATTGGAATTCCCATTTACCTTAGCAAATTTTTTTTCATTTTTTTTTTGTTTGCAATGGAAACAAATTCTAAAAATTATTGTAAAAAAATATTTCTTTTTAATTGACAATTTTCATGTAAAACAAAATCAAACGACCACAAAGAGATAGATGATTTTCTTGAATTTTTTTTTTTACAATGGAAATAAATTTCATCCCCAATACCAATAAATTTTATCACTTTAATTGATAATTTTCATATAAAACAAAATCAAACGAACACCAAAAATTACTTTCATTTCAACATTTTTCACGTGAAAAATTATACCAATCAAATACAATAATTTACAATTCCCAAAAAAATAATTTCTAAGCAATTCAATTCCTTATAATTCATTTTCTTTTCACCCAAATTCTATCTTTGCAATCAAATGACCATTAGTAAAAAATGACAGTTTGATCTTTTGTTGTTATGGAAACATAGGAATTAAGCCCCTGTTTGGGATTACTTTAATGTGATTTTGAGAAAAAATATATTTTGGAATAATGATTTATTGAAGAATATGAATTAAAAGATAATAAAAAAATTTTGAGTTTACGTGTAATATTATATTATTGAAAAATGTATAATTAAAAATAAAAAAGGAAAATGGAGCTCAAACAAGGGCAAATAAAGAAATCAGTGATAAAAGTGTCAGTTGAAAGTTTTGAAGATTATGGTAATTAAATAAATTAGAAAAGAACTTTCAAGTAGGGATGACAATAGTTCGGTTTTGGTTCAATTCGGTCAAAATTATCATTGAACCGTCAAATTTTTTGCTATACCATAACTGCATTATAACCACGTAAATCAGTTCGGTTCGGTTAATAACCACAAAAATTTATTATTTTTTATAGGTCCATCAAATTGATAAAAAACAATTTATGAAAAGAGAGTCAATGAAAACAAAAGAATAATATTCCAAACGAAAACGCAAACATTATCCCAAATTCCAATTGCAAAATACAAATTTAACAAATAATATTATAAATATCACAATACTAAACTTTTCCTTCATTCTTGATTCTTGTGCATTATAATTACTTGATTCATACTCAATAATTCAAAAATTTCAACCTTAACTCATATTCAATCTTCATTCTTCCCCACAACTCTTACTAGTATAGGTCAACACTCAAAATTAATTTCTATATAGTAAATAAGAAATGTAAGTAGAGAGTACAATGATACTACCTAATCCAAAATAGTTTTAACTAAGATTTAAATAAAAAAAATGTACTTTTTCGTCAACTTTCTTCTCACTAAACATTGACATCCCTAATAAAAGAATGATTTTTTTTAAACGGATAATCGGTTCGGTTTCGGTTCGACAGCGTAAATACCATACCTGTACCGCCACGAACCGATTCATTAAAATCAAATACCATATCCGCCCCATTGCACCATCGGTTCGATTTTTTTCGCCCCATACGGTTCGGTTAACCACAATTTTCGATTCTAACGGTTCAAATTGCCATCTCTACTTTCAAGCCTTCAAAAGTAAGATTCTAAGTATGTGAACCTGAGTCAAGATTCTAAGTATGTGACTCTGAGTCCCATTGTTACTGAAATAATCATTTATATGTTAAAATCACATGTGATTTCTCCTGTGATTTTAACTTCCTCATTATCAATTAAGTAGAAGAATCACATTGGGGGGCTCTGGAACCAAGTGTCGGGAGTTCGATTCCTGGTTGGAGCAGCCAAGTGATGTAATAACCAGAGGAAGGGTTGGAGCAGCTTGGTGATGTAATAACCATGGAGGAGGGTCCCTTTGGGGAAGGAGTAAAAGTCATGTGGGAACTTGGGAACCAATAAGGGCACAACCTGCGATTTACCTCCACTAGTCACTGAGGGGCCGGGGGCTAGAGGTCCAGGATTTAGTCCGGCTAAGTTGGGACACCTGGGTTATCAAAAAAAAAAAAAAAAAAAAAAAAAAAAAAGAAAAAAGTAGAAGAGACGAGCTACATTATTCGCATGGATGATCGTGGGATTAACACAACACCCACGCATAGGGCGTCGAGATTATTTTATTTATGGGGATCCACATCGATGCATGTAAGGGCTCGGTCACCCGCTAGGTCATCCTCTTGGGTTGTTTGGCTTAACTCCAAGTAAAATCTATTCACTGATTCATATAGGCTAGCACTTGAACCTCATTTATTTTTATATATATATAACGTGAATTGTTGTGATAAATTTACCTGCACATTCATGTCAATTGACGCAAATAATTTGGAAAATAACATGTCTTGCCAAAAGATACATAGAACTAGCAAAAAGAAGGATGGAAATTCATGTACCAAAAATAAAAGAATGTCTACATAAATTTGTTGAAGATAATATGTGGCGGGGTCCTCAAAAGAATATAATCGATTAATTTTGCTGGATATAGCACTGTCTTCTTCATACGTCTACACGGCCTATTTCCATGCTTTTATTTCGAAAAGAGGTAAGAATATGACAACGTGGTACGTTGAATGATTAAATTTGGTAAATACGAAATAGGGACTTGAATGCAATATTTAGAAAGTTGAGGGGTAGTTTATGTAAAGGGAGACAGAGCTCTGGTGCATTCGTGTGGTATCGTACGTGTGGGGTATGGGGAGTGACTGTCTTCTACGAGAAGAACATTAGATGAGTCAAAAGAAGTGTAAAATTTACCACTGTTGATACCTTTTTCTCCTCTAGATTTGTGTTAGAATGGTATGGACCTCGTATGAATAATTTAGAGCTTGTTTGGTTTAAGATTTTAAATCAATTAAAATTAATTTTTTGATCTTTATTTCACTATTTCATTCGTCATTTTTAAATTCTCTCATAGATAGAACCTACTTTATCTATAATGGGCAAAAAAATAATTATCAAAATTCCTACCAAACAAGGACATAATATTAAAGGATTTGCTCATTGAAATGGATCGAACCCTTAAAAAGGTTATTCTTAATTAACATTGTTATTTTTTTCAGAAGTAAAAACTTTTAGAAAAATGTTGGTAAAATTTTCGAATTTCCCTTGAGAACAAAGTAATTAATATTAAAGGCGTATTTGATTGCATTTATTTTTCAAATTTTTTACTTTATAGTATTTGATTGCTATTTTTTCCATTTAAAATATTTTTCAACTTTTAAAAATATACCTAATTTTGCTTTTCTTAAGGAAAATATTTTTTTTTTGTGAGAATAAGTTTTTGTTTTTCTCAAAACAAGAAAAATATTTTATTTCTAGGTGATATTTTTCATCTCAATCAACTACACTCTAAATGTATTTTGGGCTCATTTGATAGGGTTTTTGCTTTTACTTATTGTAGAAAATTTAACACCAGTTTCTTCTAAAAGGTGAATCTAGTAAGGCAAAATTCTTTCAAAAAATTATTCCAATCATGTTACACGTACACTCTCTTATAAATCTTCCTTTACACTTTTTCACATAGCAAAATCTACACTCTTGATTTTCAATCCATCCATCGCATCACTGTACAGATTTCCTCCACAAAAGAGAGGATGTGATCCTTGTTGTAACAGGATGTACATATAGCGTAATTTTAATTATTCAAATATGTGAAAAAATAGTTTCTTAATTTTAGAGACAACTTTTTATTTTTGAAAAGTCTTGTGGGCCATCCATATTAACCAATTTTGGAAAATCTACTTATTTAAACAATAATTTGAGTTGTTGATTTCAAAGTCGGGTCGAATCTTCTAATCAATGGCAAATATATTCACCGGGTGGGAAATAATTGTTTAGTTTATTAAAATTGTATGAAAATGAAATAAAAATATGGTTGACGGATGGAATCAATTTTTAGGTAAATGCAAATAATAACCAAATAAAATTTGATTAATTATTGGAAGTCAATTATTATTAGAATAGAGCTATTATGATTTATGACGAATAAATGTGCGAGTGCGGGCCTACAAATGGGTTTGATCATCGGGCTCGGGTTTCGAGGGGTCTGGATTTTGAGTCAGAGCCTTCAGAACTCATTAAAAGACGTATTCAGAGCCAAAGGGCTACATGTGATAGTAAACCCATTGATTTATAGCCATATTAGGTTGGGTACCATTTTTATAAGAATGAAAATGAAAAATTATGGTCGTTATGGAATTCATATGAGAGATAGAAAGTTAAATATGATGATTTGATAAAATAAATAACGATTATATTTTTCATTTTTGTGATCAAAAAATAAAAATCAAACGGGAGCTTAAATTTTATCAAAATGTGCTCATATTTTATCAAAAAATCTTCTGAAATTTTACGGTTTGTTGGCAAATATCATTACCGTATTTTTAAAACATGTTGAAATAAGAAGCAATGGATAAAAATTGACATAACATTAGACGTACCTTAACTATACGATTTAAAATTATTGAAATAATAAGAATTTATATATTATTGTTTTGATTTGTAATATAAAATGTTTGAGAAATGAAAAAACAAATATTTGGATTTATTTGTTATGCTACGTTTACTTAGAAGATGTTCGGTAAACTAAATTAGATAACACCTAACCTAATGTTGAATTTTTTGTTTCGTTATATTAAAAAATTATTTATAACCAATTAATTCAAACATGGATTGGTACAAAATCGCAAAAGTTAGTGAAGTTATTCACCAACTCTACTGTATTTAAATTATTTTTGAAAACTCTAGTATGATTAGTCCATTTCAACTTATTGTCGTCATTGATGATTAAAAAGCAGGTTTCTTGTATTTCACTCAAAATTTATTTTTGATTTAAAAAATATATATATATATATATATTTTTTTTTTACCTTCAATAAAGCTCATGTTTGGTATGGATTAATCTAAATCAAAGTTGACAATTAGCTCCTATTTGGACCACATTTTTTCCCAATTTTAGAAGAAATGGAGCTGTTGAATGGCCCTGCATGACATAACATTTTTTATTTGCCTCTCACAGTTGGCTTAGGGCTGTGTGCTCCAAAAGTCAAAAATCTCATTTCCATTCTCCAAAAATACGTAGCAAGCAGGGGCCTAATTACATCTTTTATTAAATTTACAACTTTTTAATCACACATTTAAGTAATTTTTATTAAAATCTATTAAAAATTCTGGAGTCTACATCTTGGTCCCTCAAGTTGCAGATAGGTTAAATCATAGGTTGTGCTCCAAACTGACCAGTGCTCAAGAACTCCCTCAACGGATCTACCAAAGTGTCAAACAAGTCGTTTCCCATCTTTGCACCTTGCCTTCCAGTAGAGCTCCTGCCTTTCAGGATAAATCCTGCCTTCCAGGAGAATATTTGTCTTCCAAGAACCTTCCAGGAATCGAACTCACGACCTCTGATCGGTCAGTTTGAAAGCGCCCTCATCTTTGGCAGTTGGGATGAGTCCTGGGGGGGCACAATTCTATATTTATATTATAGTTTCAAACTATGCAGCGTAACTAAACAATTAGATCATGGTCAATATTACAAATCTCTTTCCAGTTGAACAACTTAACTAGCAAATTTTCCTTCTTTTAGGGGAGCTAAGAATACCGACTACCTTTTAGTTAGAGCTACAAGTAAGATCAAGTCATACCATTCGTAGAAAATGACAAAAACATTTTGCTTTCGATTTTATTATGTAAGTGTAATGATTATTACAAGTAATAAATTGACAAATAAAGTATTATTTTCATGAGGATTCACTAATCTAAACGCGAACAATTAATTTTTGAATTTGATTTTAATATATCTAACATATCAAGGCACAAGGACCCCAAATTCACTATTGTTAACATTCTTTAACCTTCAATTACCCTATTATAGCCAATTTTTATTTTATATTGGCAATCGTCGTTGTGTGCTAACTTTCTCTCTCAAGATAAATTAAACTTATATTTACCTTTAATCAAACCATATCTCTATCAAGGTAAACCATATCTCTATCAAAGATGTGAATGGATAAAAAAGCACTACTAAACAATAATAATACAAAATAGCACCAAGCATAAAAGTATATATATCTCTTAACAA